ACTCATTCTGAGTCTGTCTCCCGGTCACTAACATGTTCTGACACACATTCTTTCAGTATATGACACTCATCCTGAGTCTGTCTCCCAGCCACTAACATGTTCTGACACACATTCTTTCAGTATCTGACACTCATCCTGTCTGTCTCCCAGCCACTAACATGTTCTGACACACATTCTTTCAGTATCTGACACTTATTCTTTCAGTATCTGACACTCATCCTGAGTTTGTCTACCGGCCACTAACATGTTCTGACACACATTCTTTCAGTATCTGACACTTATTCTTTCAGTATCTGACACTCATCCTGAGTTTGTCTACCGGCCACTAACATGTTCTGACACACATTCTTTCAGTATCTGACACTTATTCTTTCAGTATCTGACACTCATCCTGAGTTTGTCTACCGGCCACTAACATGTTCTGACACACATTCTTTCATTGTCTGACACCCATTCTGAGTTTGTCTCCCGGCCACTAACATGTTTTGACACACATTCTTTCAGTATCTGACACTTATTCTGAGTTTGTCTACCGGCCACTAACATGTTCTGACACACATTCTTTCAGTCTTACACTCATTCTGAGTTTGTCTACCGGCCACTAATATGTTCTGACACTGTCAGGAACCTACTTTACTCTGTACATGTAATATGGCTGGCTAGGTAGGCCAGCTAACAGACTTCACTAGCCTAGATACACTTAAGACACACTCCTGCTGAGTACAAACATAATCTTTAATGTACAATGAACAAACCGACTTTAAACACTTCAACTGAGTTAGGCAGTTTCTATCCGAAACCCCTGGCGATGAACAGCTTTACAATCACTGGTCAACCCACGCAGGTCCCCATGGATCTACAAGGAATACGACTCCTAGCTGACAGTTTATCAGTGCTAACTAAGCCGCCGTCTATTGCCACACGGGACTCAGCGATACATGTAAGGTGTATGGCCTAAGCGTGACTGGGCAGTGTTACCGCCATTCACAATGCGCGTCACACCTTTACTAACTGCTCAAACAAATACTGCATGGAATGTCTACTACACAAAGAACATTAACTCTACACTATCTAGTCGAAACATTAAATATAAACACAGCCTATCATAGATACTAAACACAAAGATCCTATTCCAACTAACCGTCACTAAACCTAATTTTACCTAGTCCAAACGTTCAGTCTTGTTGTCTCGTCCCGTCTCAGTACACGACTCTCTCTCAACCTGCTCGGACAAAGCTTTTTGTTCCGGGCCCGAGTTCACGGCTCAACACGCAGTAATCTGTGTCACCTGTGTGAACTGGGCTTGGTCCGTTAACTGGACCCAGTTTTTTCCGTGGTCAAGCTGTCCGCTCTCATACTTGTATTGAAGGTCAACTCGTTCATACGTGATGATTCACTATCATCAGAGTTGTCCTTCCCATAGCCGAACTGGCCTCTGACAGACACACATTCTTTCAGTATCTGACACCCATTCTGAGTTTGTCTACCGGCCACTAACATGTTCTGACACACATTCTTTCAGTATCTAACACTCATCCTGAGTCTGTCTCCCGGTCACTAACATGTTTTGACACACATTCTTTCAGTATCTGACACTCATTCTGAGTTTGTCCACCGGCCACTAACTTCTTCTGACACACATTCTTTCAGTATCTGACACTCATCCTGAGTCTGTCTGTATGATCTTCTTATAGGCAAGCAGACGGGACGAACCGACAGACAGAAGACACAACTGACGAACAAAGAAACGAACGAACTTTTAAAAAAAAATACTTAAAGATAGACGGATGAGCTTTACTATAGACAGACAGACGGATGAGCTTTACGATAGACAGACAGACGGATGAGCTTTACGATAGACAGACAGATAAGATAAGCAAATAAAATATACAGTCATCGGGTGGGTGGGCGGGCAGGCAGAGAACAGAATATATGAATGTCGCGGACAGACAGACAGACAGACAGACAGACAGACAGACAGACAGACAGACAGACAGACAGACAGACAGACAGACAGACAGACAGACAGACAGACAGACAGACAGACAGACAGACAGACAGACAGACAGACAGACAGACAGACAGACAGACAGACAGACAGACAGGACAGACAGACAGACAGACAGACAGACAGACAGACAGACAGACAGACAGACAGACAGACAGACAGACAGACAGACAGACAGACAGACAGACAGACAGACAGACAGACAGACAGACAGACAGACAGACAGACAGACAGACAGACAGACAGACAGACAGACAGACAGACAGACAGACAGACAGACAGACAGACAGACAGACAGACAGACAGACAGACAGACAGACAGACAGACAGTAGGTAGATAGATAGTAGGTAGGTAGGTAGGTAGGTAGGTAGGTAGGTAGGTAGGTAGGTAGGTAGGTAGGTAGGTAGGTAGGTAGGTAGGTAGGTAGGTAGTAGATAGTAGGTATAGTAGATAGGTAGATAGATCGATAGATAGATAGATAGATAGATAGATTAGATAGATAGATAGATAGATAGATAGATAGATAGATAGATAGATAGATAGATAGATAGATAGATAGATAGATAGATAGATAGATAGATAGATAGATAGATAGATAGATAGATAGATAGATAGATAGATAGATAGATAGATAGATAGATAGATAGATAGATAGATAGATAGATAGATAGATAGATAGATAGATAGATAGATAGATAGATAGATAGATAGATAGATAGATAGATAGATAGATAGATAGATAGATAGATAGATAGATAGATAGATAGATAGATAGATAGATAGATAGATAGATAGATAGATAGATAGATAGATAGATAGATAGATAGGATAGACCTATTTCTTGTGACTGCCATTTCTAAATGTGGAATCCTGAAACTTTAAGTGTTGAATCCTAGACTGTTGATTTATAATTAAGCTGCTACTTGTCAGCTCTGTCATTGCCCTGTGCTAGAACCCACATTGTTATGCAGATTTGAATGCTGAGTTCTGTAGCTGTAAAGCCGGGATCTACAGGTATGCCCAGCCTGGAACATGTGCCAGCTAGAGGGGCGAGTAGGTTTCCATACTTGTTGTTATCTGGTTAGCTTTTCATCTTGCCTCACAGTGGATCCCAGAGTCCAAAGACACTCCCCGCTACATGATAGTGATTTACAGCAAAGCACTCTGGACAGATCAGCATCGATAGAGTAACAAGAGTAAAACGACCGAAGAGGCTGGTTCTGTGTTGTTTTCCCATTCGTCTTTTCCCATTGGTGAAATTTGTATTTCTCGCAGCTCCAGGCTGCATCCCCATGTCCATCCATCTGTCTAAGACAGGGATACGGAGTCATGCCCTTTGCCATATTCGTCTTCGCGACAGATGCTAAGCATGGCATGGATAACGGCGCTTCTGTTACGTACAGGACCAGCTACAGCAACCGCAGTGTCTGCAAGATAATCTGCACACTCGTTGTCTCAAACAGCCGCATCACTTGACACAAAGATGAAGGTTAGACCAGCGATTTGTGAAGTGCTTACTGACACAGTCAATTCTAATGTGATGATGAATCCAGTCTAAATTGTCTTAAGCAAATTCACCGAGTCACTAGTATGCATGCGTGTGTGAAATATTGAGTACTGCTGCGTCAATCTCTCCAGGTAAGCAGATGTGGTTTTACAGATGAATGATAAGAACACCTTGGGTGGATCTAAAGAGTAATGCTGATGTCTTGACAGAAACTTGACTCACGAAGAGAACTGACTACCCACATCAGAGACAGTCTACTTTCTTTGGTCATGTCATGAGGAGGTGAAAACTGATCGTGACAGTGAGAACGTTAAAGGGGAAGAGGGGCATAAGGAGACTGAAAGAGAAGATGCTGAACAGTTTGACATCATGGCATGAAAGATCTTTTCTTTCAAAAAGACATATATCGTGGCCCAGCTGTAAACAACAACACCCTTTTAACAAGAACAAAGTAGAAGAAGAAGTCAGATGATGACATGCTTCGCACCCTAGATTTCATAGAGGCCTGTGGCCTTTTCATCTGAAAACCACTCAGAAGGAGAAGAAAAATAGCAAGTACACGCATTTCTATGACGTAAAATAAACAGAAGGAACTAATTATAAATTACGTGTTGTCTTAATCTATCTGTCCTGCAATGCACACAAACATGGAAGCTATGTCCCCAGATATAAATCTCACTGTCTGGTCTCACTGTTCAATGGTATGGCCTGCAATCCCCTATCAATTTTAGGAAACCAGCACATAAAAACATTCAGTTGACTTTTGTTGTGATCGCTGAGCAGTCAGTGCAATTGTTGGTGCTTCTGCTTCGTTCGTTTACACATGATCCCATAGCACAGGTCGTAGGTGAGGTGATTGTTTCCTTTCATATTTTGTATATTGGTGCTTCCATTCCACTGTTTATCATTTGTTGTCTTGTTTTGCTAACCATCAACCTGTCCATGCTTGTATTTGTGTATATATCCATTCATTTGTCTATCCGTTCACTTATCTTTCCAGCCATCCATCCATCTATTTATCCATCAATTGTCTATTAATTTGCTGGTTATTATTCAGATATATATCCTTCTATCATATATATATATGTGTGTGTGTGTGTGTGTCTGTGTCTGTGTGTGTGTGTGCATCTATCGTTCCATCATTTGATCGATCCGACCATCCATCCACCACTCTATTCATCCATCCGTCGTCCATCCGTCGTCCATCCATCATCAATCCATCGGTCCATACATCAGTATGTCAATCTACCCATCCATCCTTGTGTTCACTCCCACCCCAAACATCTATTACCCCATCCCTCCATCTATCCATGCATAAACGCTTTCCTACATCCATCCAAATTCCGCCAGAATGTACTCGTATACAATGTGCGTCGTCCGTCGATCCACTCCACCGGACCGTTGGTCAGTCACTCCATCCCTTCCGCCAGCCCTAATTTTTACCTCCATCATACATTCCCAGATGAATTAACAGAACGAGCAAGATGGCGCTGACATTGTCCCAACTGCGAAAGATGGCGCCCAACTGGTCACTCTTGCAGCCGGACAGTCTGGTCAGTGCGGAGACACTGCTGTCCGTGGAACAAGTTCCCGATGTCTTGAAGGAGCCCTACATTTTCACCGGCTACAGGCCCATGGGTCGACCCTGGAAGTATTACTGTTTGTTAGATGTCTTGCTTTACTTGTAATGTGCCTGTACGTCTGAGAGATGTCCTGACTGTGTACTGTGACCTGAGAGATGTCTGCAGGTTGTGGACTGAGAGAGTCTGCCATGTCTGACTGCCTGGAAGAGATATGTCTGCTGTGACTAGCCTGGTTGGACTGGTATATCTGCTTGTTTTACGTAAGGATGTCTGACCTGGCTGTGTCTGAGAAGATGTCTGGGAGCTGTGTCTGAGAGATGTCTGCCTGGCTGTGTCTGAGAGATGTCTGACTAGCTGTGTCTGAGAGATGTCTGACTAGCTGTGTCTGAGAGATGTCTGACTAGCTGTGACTGAGAGATGTCTGACTAGCTGTGTCTGAGATATGTCTGACTAGCTGTGACTGAGAGATGTCTGCCTGGTTGTGTCTGAGAGATGTCTGACTAGCTGTGTCTGAGAGATGTCTACCTGGCTGTGTCTGAGAGATATCTGCCTTTCTGTGACTGGGAGATGTCTGCCTGGATGTGTCTGAGAGATGTCTGCCTGGTTGTGTCTGAGAGATGTCTGCATGGTTGTGTCTGAGAGATGTCTGCCTGGCTGTGTCTCAGAGATGTCTGAATGGTTTTGTCTGAGAGATGTCTGCCTGGCTGTGCCTGAGAGATGTCTGCTTGACTGTGAGAGATGTCTGCCTGGCTGTGACTGAGAGATGTCTGCTTGACTGTGAGAGATGTCTGCCTGGTTGTATCTGAGAGATGTCTGCCTGGTTGTGTCTGAGAGATGTCTGTGGCCGGCTGTGGTGTGTGCTGAGAGATGTCTGCTGGTTGTGTCTGAGAGATGTCTGCCTGGTTATGACTGAGAGATGTCTGCCTGGCTGTCACTGAGAGATGTCTGCCTGGCTGTCACTGAGAGATGTCTGCCTGGTTGTATCTGAGAGAGGTCTGCCTGGTTGTGTCTGAGAGATGTCTGCCTGGTTATGGCTGAGAGATGTCTGCCTGGCTGTGGCTGAGAGATGTCTGCCTGGTTGTGTCTGAGAGATGTCTGCCTGGTTGTGTCTGAGAGATGTCTGCCTGGTTGTGTCTGAGAGATGTCTGCCTGGTTGTGTCTGAGAGATGTCTGCCTGGTTGTGTCTGAGAGATGTCTGCCTGGATATGCATGCACAGCTGGTTTTGGGGTAGAGTTTTTTCCCCTATGTGAGCAGTCATCTGAGGCTGGATGGCTGCCGATACTGATAATGACGACGATGATGATGATGAAGACGTCGAAGATGATAATGATAATGATGGCGATGATGATGATGATAATAATGATTAAGATGATGCTTATGATATTGCTGAAGATTATGATAATGATGACGACGTCGATGATGATGATGATGATGATGATGATGAAGATGAAGATTATTATGATGATGACGACGTCGAAGATGATGATAATGATGGTGATGACGACGATGATGATGATGACTCAAAAGTGTTTGGTGTTCTTGTCCGATTCTGCAGCAATTAATTTTTGCTGAAATTGTTTTTTAACTTTCATCATCATTACCACCATCATAATCATCATCATAATCCTCATCATCACCATTGCCATCATAACGCAAATACTAGTGGTTGATGTTTGTCCTAGCTTCACAACGAATCGGTCAATATTTGGTCACACACGATTGGTTTCTTTCTGGTGTTGCTACGCCTGGTGCACTTCTTTAGTGACCTCGACCTGCTGCAGGACAAGGTGGCCTGGCCAGCGCTGGGGTTCGGCCTGTCCTGTCTACTCAGCTTGACCCTCAGTGCTGCAGGTGGGTGTCTCAGTATCTCTTTCGTGTTATGAGTTCTTCTTCTTCTTCTTCTTTTTTCTTCTTCTTTTCTTCTTATCTTTTTCTTCTTCTTGTATTCTTCTACTTTTTTACTTCTTCTCTAAGGTTTTCTCCTTCTATTTCTTTCTTTCTTCTTCATTCTTCTTCTTCTCTTCTTCTTCGTCTGCTTCGTTCTCTTTTCTGTTCTTCTTCTTCTTCATGTTGAGTTTTCTTTTCTTCCTTCTTCTTCTCTTCTCTTCTTCTTCTTCTTCTTCTTTCTTCTTCTTCTTTTTCTTCTTTCTTCTTCTTCTTCTTCTTCTTCTTCTTCTTCTTCGTCTTCTTCTTCTTCTTCTTCTTCTTCGCTTCTCTTCTTCTTCTTCTTCTTCTTCTTCTTTCTACTTCTTACTTCTTTTTTTTCTACTACTACTACTACTTTTGGAAATATCTTGGTAAATGTTGAGCACAAATTTGGCTATTTTCCGCATAAAATGTGACAGTTTCAATAAATTTCCATGAAAATATGTTGATTTTAGCCACTGAAATTAATTTTCCTCTAGTGTTTAAGTAGTATGTACCTACAGAAAGCATTGTTTCCAGCAGATATAATAAAATTCAATTTGGGGGTGTAACTTGTCCTTAACCATCGACTTTTAGCGCAGTTAAATCTTTGCATTGCTATGACCATCTTTGAACTGTTGTTGAGAAGGCTCCATTGCTGTTTATTATAAAGCTTAGATGTTTGAAGCTTGTGATAATTTCAATTGTTTTATCCGTTACTGTAATTGAAGTGACAGGCAGTTGTGTCAGTGGTCATGGTTGCAGACAACTAGATGTGCTTAGTTTAAGCCTAAATTCAGCAAATTGAGGAATATTTGATTCGAATGTTGATGAAGAAGATGAGAAGGATGTGGCAATATTATCTTAACGTGACGTCATTTCCTCTCTAGCCCATCTCCTTCACTCAAGGTCAAGATGGCACCACTTCCTGTTCTTTCTCATGGATTACATGGGCGTCACCTTCTACTCCTTCGGAACGGGTATAATCAGCATGTTTACCTGCTCCTCCAGGGGCTACCACGACGCGCTCCACGGCTGGTTTCTGCCCGCCAACGTCTTCTTTAGCTGGTTGTCTTTCTTCGTCTGCTGCATCGCAAAAACGCATCTATCCCATGATAATGTAAGTAGCCTCTGTGTTTGTGATTCTGTGCCAAAGCTACGGCCTCATTGGTCCACGTTTGTGTGTTGTAACAGTGACTAATGATTGGTCAGCTCCCCCCACTCAGCACTAAAGCTACCGCCTCATTGGTCCACGCTTGTGTATTGTAACAGTGACCATGATTTGTCAGCTCTCCCCCCCCCCCCCCCCCCCCCCCACTCAGCACTAAAGCTACGGCTTCATTGGTCCACGCTTGTGTGTTGTAACAGTGACTAATGATTGGTAACCTCCCCCCCCCCCCTCCCCCCTCTTTCCAACTCAGCACTTTTTGAACATACGCTGCTAGATACGTTTTGTTTTAAGACCACTGTTTCCCAAACTTTTCTTAGTCGCGGCGCTTTTTTTTTTTTTTTCAATAAAAAAATTTTCACGGCGCTCCTAACCTAAGTAAATGTTTGACTATTTGTATATAAGAGATACAAAATAAAAATAACAATCGTGTCTCTTCGAATATTTCCGGCTTTTACTCTTAAAAAAATGTTCTGGGCTCTATTTCTTACATAAAAAATCGCCGGGGCCCTATTTTAAATCTTAAATAAAACATGCCCCTCCCTATTTACTCTTTTTAAAACATCTTTTCCCGTCCTATTTTCCTTACATAAAACATCGTTCCCGGTCCTCTATTTACTCTTACATAAAACATCGTTCCCGGGCCTCTATTTACTCTTACTTAAAACATCGTTCCCGGTTTTCTGTGTTATATTTCTTTTTTGCGAAGGGGTTTTTTCAAGGAAATGAAAAAAGGATAGCTTGAAGGAAAATTTCGTAGGGGGGGGACGAGCCACGACAGGTGATACACAGAAGCTTGTGAAAGTGAACGTTTGTGAGAACCGTGAACCCG